CAACAGCCAATTTAAAAACGCCTATGGGAGGGGTTGGAGGTCAAAATTGTCGTAGATCCATGAAATTTGGTACACATTCCTCAAGTCAAGACATCACATTTTTTTATTATGGCCTCTGACAAACAGGAAGCCCATAAATTTCATTGCAAAAAGGAAAAATGCAAAGCAATAATTTTCACACATGTTGGTTGGAAAGCGACTCCTCCTTGGCCGTTTCACCGATTTGCCTCAGAATTGCTCCACATCATCTCAACACATGTACCTTCAAAATGTCTTCAGGGATTTTTGATCAGTGAAACAATGTACGAGCAGCAGAGTGGCAAAATGTGACCTTTCTTTGGCCGTTTTTTACAACATAAAATTTGCTCCTGTTTGCACATACAAAGTTGGATTCGCACAAAACTTAAATACGTTGTTCAAGTCCAGGGTCTAGGTCATTTGAAAGTAAAATGATTCAAATTGACACATTAGCACCCCCAACAGACTATTTCAAAGTTTTACATGGGAATTTTCACATTTAGTTTTTTCAAAATGTTTGAAATTTTGCACATACATCTGTTTTGCCCTCGTGATTCAAAAAGTCAAAAGGGCCCAAGGCCTATTTTTTACCCTGTTGCCGTGGCGACAACAAATGCTCCCCATTCATTGTCTATGGGACATTGTACACCTTGCACAGACATCTAACCAGCCTCGGCCGTTTCACAGATTTGCCTCAAAACCACTCCACATCATCTCAACACATGTACCATCAAAATGAATTCAGGGAATTTTGATCAGTGAAACGTTGTTTGAGCAGCGGAGCGGCAAAATGTGACCTTTTTTTCCAATTTTTGACGATAGAAACATAGCTCCCTTTTGCACAAACCAAGTCCGATTTGCACCAAATTTGATTCGGTTGTTCAACTTTTGGGTTTGGGTAAACTGAAAGTTTAAAATATTAAATTGCAGCATTAGCGCCCCCTACAGACTGAGTCAGGTTTTACATGGGTGAGAATGGCATTCGCTAAGTCTGATTTGCACTAAACTTGACTCAGTTGTTCAACTCCTGGGCCTAGGTCGCCTGAAAGTGTGAACAATGACATTGACCCATTAGCGCCCCCTACAGGCTGAGTAAAACTTTTACATAGGGGACACAGCGGCAAAAAGTGAACTTTTTTTTTCTTCCTTTTTTGACAATTGAAAAATAGATTTATTTTGCAAATACAATACAATACTTGGATCAATTGTTCACCTCCAGGGTCATTTGAAATAGAAATAATTGAAATTGGCCTAATAGCGCCCCCTACAGACTATGTCAAAGTTTTACATGGGGAACCAAACCGACTGATCATATTAATTACAATTTCACAAACAGTGTTCTATGGCTATAGAAGCAAATCATGGCACGGAGGCGCCTCCTTTGCTCGCTGTGGCGCGTTATGGTGTGGGCCGGTGCAGTGCGGCGCGGTGTTGTCGGGGGCGGCTTGTTGCGGGGCAGCTTGTTGCGGGGCGGCTTGTTGCGGGGCGAGGTGGTGCGGCGCGGTGCAGGGAGTTGCGTGGGGCGGCAAGGGCCTTTAAACGCCGCTTACGGCTTTAATTTAATTTGTCTTTTCTCTGAGGACTGAAACAAAATTATGCATCCTCTTATATAAGCTTTAAAAGTATCCCATAAAAGGTGAGCGGATATCCCGTCTTGGTCATTTGTCTCAAAAAACAATTTAATTTGATCCTTGACGTAATTACAGAATTTGCTTTTGGTGAGAAGCTGTGGGTCCAGTCTCCAGGTTCTATAGGTAGGTCCTGACTCCAGGATCTTTAATAAGAACACAGGGCTATGATCAGATAAAATAATGCTGTGATATTTTAAGTGTCGTACTCCTTGCAACATCAAGCAGAAGGAAATCGATTCGTGAATATGTGTTATGGACTCCTGAATGAAATGAATATTCCCTTCCAGTTGGATTTAGCATTCTGCAAACATCCGCAAGACGGAGAAATGCTGAGGCATTCGAAGATACGTGTTTTTGTGTTGAAGACCTATCTAAATAAGCGTCTAGATTCTAGAACTAAATTAAAATCACCCCCAAGTATTAGTGGTAAACATTTCTGGAATCATACTAAATATTTTCTTAAAGAAATCTGCATCATCTATATTCAGTCCATATATGTTTAGTAACGAAACTGGAACGGATTGGATTTCTCCATTAACCATGACAAATCTACCTTCTTAGTAGATTCTACTAAGCTACTCTAGATTTATGCAAAAAAAATATTTTTTTGTGAATAATTATTGCCGGGCCACTTGCCTTAACTGAGAACTTTGAATGATAGACATGTCCTATCCATTTAGCTCTAATCTTAAAATGCGCATAATTTTTCAAATGAGTCTCCTGTCTTTAGGTGTGACAGTACTTTACCCCTTTTTTGTCTCATTTATGCCATTGACATTCCAGGAACAAAACTTTATTGTCCCCATTGTATTCTCTTCAGCACTGATCCCACCTCCAATTAAAGCCATACTGTCCTATCTATTGGAGTATTGGATAATACACTGGTAGCACACTCCCCAAAAGAAAAAAGAAAAGCCCCATAACAACAAAAATAACAATAAAAACAACAAAAAACAACATGTAACACCTAGATGGTAACAGTAACGAACGTCATCCCCACGAACCATACTTCTCCTAACTATCCACTAAACTTGACTCAGCTACGCTTGCTCCTAGTTGTAACGGAGCAAGCAACGGGTGCTATTCACCCGTTGTCCCATTGTCTGTTTCATGGTATGATGACGGGATCTCTGAGCCTGGCCTCCTCCATCTACACCTGCGGACTGCCCTGCCCGACCCGCCTGGGAGTGCTTCAGTCCTGCACCGGACCTGTCCACGTTCAGCGGCCACTGGTCCACGTTCTGTAGCTAGCTTAGGTCCTAGATCATTAGCCTGTCCGTCCGGAGGAGCGGATCCCTTTCTCAAATGGGTCTCCCTCCCTGTGGGTTTCCCTAGTTCTCCCCAAGGTTTCTCACTTTTTCCCACTGGGTTTTTTAAGAGTTTTTCCTTGTCGATGCAGGAGGGTCTTGTTGGACAGCTAGTGTCCAACAGAAAGGATGATGCAGGACACTTTAGCATTCTTACAACATGTATGGACATTTTCTTCTGTGTGTGCTTTATATTTTTCATGTGTTTTAACTGTTGATTCTCTGGTCTGTGTTGGTGATTTCAATGGTTTTTTTAAGTCCTCTGAGATGACCTCTGTTGTGACCTAGGGCTATACAAGAATAAATTGTATTGTATTGTAACTGAGCAGAACATAACATAACACAATTATAAACTGACCAGGATATGGCAAACAAAATGTATAGTCTGTAACTGTAATGCAGCCACAAAATACAATCTTTCACATTAACTGGATTATATATACATCACCCATATTCACAATTGAATATAGCCAGCTCAAATGAGCACTTAGTTAGTCTTGTTTGACGTTGTTTCAGTTGCGACGTGTGCGGTCTCCTACATTCTTCCGCTACCAGTCTCCTTGAGATAGCAGGCAACAAACCTTCTGGCTTCATCAGGATCAGTAAAGAACTTCTCAGTCCCATCATGCGACAAGCGCAGCTTGGCCGGGTAGAGAAGACCATATCGAACACCCGATTTTCCACAAAGCATCTTTCTCACTGTAGTGAACGCGGCCCGCCGCTTAGCCACCTCCTGGGGCAGGTCTCGGAATATATGGATCTTTTGTCCGTGAAAAGAGATCGCTTTGGTGCTAATAACTTTCTTCATGATTTTCTCAAACGTGTGAGAGTAGTGCACCCATATTATGAAATGTCTAGTTGGTTCGTCATCCCCTTGCCTTCTCCTCAAAGCTCTGTGAGCACGGTCGATTAACGGGAGCTCATCCAAGTCTAGGGCCTCTTTTAGCAACAGTGCAGCTAGCTCCCGTCCGTCCCGTCCGTATTCTTTGCCTTCCCTCAGACCCGCCACTCTCAGGTTCTGCCTCTTTGACCGACCTTCAAGAGCAATACACTTTTCGGTTAGCGTCAAAACTTGCTCTTGTAGGATCTTTACGGCTCTCTCTAGCCCTTACACGGTATCGGAAGAGGTGCTAGTAGCAACAGCTAGCTCCTTAATCGACTGAGCGTTCACCTCCATCGTCGTCTTCAGCGAGGCCAATCCCACATCATTCTCAGTCTTTAGGTCAGCCAGATCTCTTCTCAGCTCCGCAATGGCGGCTGCTGTCTTGGCGTCGATTGTATTACATATAACGGCTTTAAAGCTTTCCAGGTCCGCTCGCAGTGATGCTATTGCCCCCAGCACTGGTTCATGCGAGCTCGTATCGTTAGTATTTATGGTACCATCTGTAGCTTCGGGGGCGCCTTCCTCTGCCTCGGCTGCATCTGACTTTGGTGTGTTTTTTCTTGGCATCCTTGCAGATATTCAAGCACCTGTTCTCATACAAGGTAGATCCAGTGTGTCAAAAAAGCAAGGGCTTTCCTGGTCGTGTTTGTAAAGGAGTTTAAAAGTTGAAATTCTCAGAGCTGCATAGAGTACGTCCTACTCCATGACTCATCGGAAGCAGCTCATAAGCTCTAGAGCTAAACTAAATGAAATATTAATCATGACATGTAAATTGTGTATATTACTGTAGCCTTGTATAAATCTAGCTTTCACCCAATGAGACACCAAATTAAATGGTGTGCTATCAATGCACTCTGTCGGATCCATGCGCCTGTGTGATGTCTGTGGAGTGCACTTAGCCTGTCAGCCCACATCACCCGCCTCAAATGAACCCACGCAGACTTCATTAGTGCACTGTAGGACATCTCCTTTCTGCTCAGACTCGTCCTTGGCTTTTAATTCTGTCATTAGCATTCCAACTCCACAACCTTATCAGCAATTAGGCTGTCTGATAAATGACTCGTCGAGAGGATCTGGCAACAAGAGGATTTGTGGGCAGATAAGGCTGAGGACAAAGCTAAGGATTGTGGGTGGTGTCCGGACGATCAAGAGCGGTCTTACCATCGTGGTCTCTTGGATAGAGCCGAAGCTGTTGATGAAGATATTGACGCGGTCTTCCACTGGGATTCCTAGAACATGGAAAAAAGAGAATTTAAGTGGCTACGTATTGAATGTATGCAAAGAAGACGTTTCTGAGCTTATAGCCATGTTACAAAGTTGTGCCTCATCAGACACAGACCTGGAGTTGTTTTTGGATCCTAACACACTAATATCAAACCATTTCAACACTAATATATGATTTTTTTCTTGCATTCCTGTATACAATTGACATGCATTACATACAGTAAATGATATTCAATTAGTATTCAAACATCCCTTCTGATATCACTAACATTTTTGCCATTTTACATGCAAAAAATTGGGTGCTAAATTATGACATCTTATTATGATTAACTTTTCTCATCTGGTTTAGTGCTCTTTAGGAGTGAACTTTTCATGTTGATTCAAATACTTTGTACAAATACTTGCAGCACAAAGTTGGTATAAGGTCAGTGAAGGCCTGAACGTTGGCCTTAACATTTGAATCCAACTCGGCCTAGTGCGAGCTCTCATTAATGCACTCATAAATCCCATCCTCCTAAGTGCTGCCTTTGGATGTGCTGTTTACATGAGGACGCTGCAACAGTAAAACGTTAGAGTTGGGTATCGGATTGGCCTTTTGTTTACATTAAGGCGGTGTTTCAGGGGGGTGAAAACGCAAGCGTTGAGAAACAGCCTCCAGAATGGAACAGAACAGATACGCCATGCGGCGGGGGGCTGTTTCACAGCTGTGTGAAGAAAAAGGTGTGAATTCAGCACTTCCCTGCACATACATTTGGACATGCGCAGTAGCCAAGAACAAACGTAAAGAACAATGCTGGTGGGTCAACTAATGCTAGCGCTACACGGAGGAGTAATTCTACTCGTTCGTTCATCCAAACAAAACCACGCAAAGCTCTAGTTTCAGTTTCCATTTTCGCTGCTACTGTTAAATGCAGAATGATGTTGGTGCATTCTTTCACGTCTTTGCGTTGGCTTGAGGAGGATGTTGTTGAGGAAGTGATTGTAATGGTGGAAGTCGCGGGTTAGGGCTGGATGATATTGGAAATTAGAGCGATATTCGATATGAGTGTTTAGTATTGCGATAACAATATTATTGCAATATTTTTTCTTTCACCTAAAATTGCAATGAAACGCAAGAGACAAAAAACAAAAACATGAATGACCTTCAAATGCATATATTTATAAACTTTTTTGTCTGTCTGTTTTGTTGTCTTTAATAAAGGATTTTTAAAATATATATCATACACACCAATATCGCAATAATGATATTTTTTCGATATATCGTTTAGCCCTAGTGGGTGTTGTATTGTAAAGTTCCACTACCCCCTACTGGCTGGGCGCTACAACTGCATTGTGTTCCGTTGTTGTGTAGACGCTGTGCTCTTTGAATAAGGAGCCTGGTCGTTTTTGCGAATTGCTTTGCAGCGTCTTTACCGTTGTTTTGTCGAGTTGTGCCGCTTGTCGGGCTGCCTTAGCTGTTGATGTATATTAAATACAGCACACGTCAATACACTTCTATTTTCTGTCATCCATGTATCAACATCTATGAAAATATGAAATTCTAAATTTTATCATGAAATGCTTGCATAAAAAGCCTTTTGTATAATGTTTAGCCTAGTAAAATTCAGGGAATACTCAAGAACAAGGTTGGTTTCTGTGATATAAGTATCATTAGAGGAAACAGTCCCTTGTCCCTCTTTTATCAGGACAAAGAATGAGACCCAACCCCAGACCAGATCACACTCAAGGGACTGGAAGAGATCCAGATGACGTATTCGGAGGCACTTCATATTCTTCTAGACATTTTCATAAAACTGTAGGTAGGACCTTTTGAAAAGCAGTCTGAGCAGGGACAGAGAGAGAGAGAGAGAGAGAGGACTTCTCAGAGCGTCTGGTTGTCGTCTCTCATTTTCAGGCCTGGAGGGATAGTTAAATTGGCTCAGCTCATAGGGCTAGTTAGGGGAAAAAAATAGCTCAGAGAGTTTTGAATTAATATTTAATTGTAAAGAGAATTAAATGTTGTTTGATTTTAAACCCTTGAATGCTTGTTTTTTTTTCTGTATCAAATTCTGACACACGTTTGTCATTTTTTGACAATACTGTTGATGATGTATGCGTGTTTTACGGCAGCCAAAGCACACCAAGATGCCGTGATTATATCAAGTTTAAATATGTACAAATAAAAGACAGAAATGTCACATTTAAATGCAATTTGAGGCGAGATGTTGATGGTTCCACCAAGGAACCATCAAGGTCTCCCCTCAAATTGCAATAAAAGTGACATTCATACCTTTATTCATTGGTATTTAGACTTTTTATACAATTCGCCGACTTTATGTCCGCCATCTTGGTGTGCTTTGGCTGCCGTGAAACGTGCATACGCAGGTTTGCATTACATCATATACAGCTGAGGCAGCACAACTTGACACAACACCGTGTCTCCATCAAAACAGGACCTGAGAGACTGTTGGGCTGTCACTGTGTCCTGACTGACCAATCCAGTGATATCACGGCTGATACATATGAGGACATATGCTCACTTTTAGCTCTCTCTTTGTGACTCTTTCTCTGACACCCTTTAAGCTGAAGGCTGCGGAGGCCCAGAGCGTCTCTCTCTCCACCCTGTATGTGTGTATTATGGTTTACTTTCTGTTATCTCTGTATGCATTTTGTATATGTTTAGTGTCATGAAATGTCCTCTTTCATATCTATTTTGGGTATTTCTTTAGACTGTCTTCGGAAATGTCCAAATGGCCAAAAAGAACATGGATAATCCATCACATGTGTTTTTGTTGACACTGTTCTTGTTCATATGTTCAAACATTCTTCTACAAATCCACTGAGCATTGACGTATACACACTACCACCAAGGGACTCCAGCCCATATGTTTTAATATGGCCCTGGTGATACCTAATCTACATCCAATAATATCTGTAATTAATGCATCAGTTTGAAAAGTGAAAGTTCAATATGGTCCATATATAAAATGGCGGGGCGTGAGAAAGACCAATGAGTCTTCTAACAGTCTAACATTTTAATCTCATTGCTAAAACAAGCAAACCAATCGCTGCATGAGCGATAAAAGTCAGCGCTGTGTTTTACAGGCTTGGGAAAGTGTCCGAGATTTCATTTGTACGATGAGGACATGGATGTGAAAGGGAAGTGGAGCCCAGAATCCCCCAAAACCAGCAGCAGATGTGGCAGGGTTGCACGGTGGCAGTAGTGGGCTGAGACTGCTAACCTCGTCAGCTCTGCAACACCTCCTAATGGAGCCGCAAGAAGAGAGCATTTACCGCAGAGCCTCAAAGTATTTATGGAGAAAATGTAAGTAAGTAATCTTTATTTATATACTACCTTTGACAAAGCAGAGTCACAAAGCGGTTTACAATTGTGGACATTTGTATCTCACTCCACACAGAGATGGGAGCGAGGTCGCCAGTACCGGATGCCAGACCTATTGTACATGTTTTTAGTGGTAAAAAAAAAAAAGATAAGGATTTCATCATCTCAAGTTCAATTATTAATTTCATTCTAATAATCGAAGGGGTTGTTAAACTTGGGGTATACTGGTTAATCCTGGCTCAGTCTTGGTTCCGTCCTGGCTCAGTCCTGGTTGTCCTGTCTCTGTCCTGGCTCAGAACTGGTTCACAGCAGCTAACAGCTTTACCAAACATGATGGAAGTGCATAATTCTTTCTGCTGTTTAAAACGTGCCGCATCGCAGCTCATCGCACACGTATTCTCCGCCCGTTGCGTAGTGTCTGACTCTGTATCAAACAGGGCCCTCTACAGAGTCATAACTCTGTGAAAAGTAATTTCTATCCATAGGCTGCATGTATCTGTTTATACCTCTACTTTGAGTTTGTTTTTAATTTTCTTCCTTTCTTTAAAAAAAGGAAACTTAAAAGGAAACTTAAAAAAAAAAAAAAAAATGATGTGCCTCATCTTGCAGATGGTGCCCCAGGCTGGGTTGCCTAAGCCCGGGTCGGCCCTGACGGGGAGAACATGCACGGCCGGGATTCAAACCCAGGACCTTCTTGGTGAGAAGCGAGAGTGCTATCCAGAGTGCGCTGTCTTAGCAAGTTGCCCGATCGGGAGAGTGATGTATTACTTTAACCCATTCAGGCCAGGAACGCATGGCCGCATTTCTTCCTCTGGAGCCGGGAGCGGACTCGTCTGTTTATCTTTGTTTGACAAATTCTCTTCATTGGTAAATTCTCTGGATCAATTAAATGCATCTGGATAAACCAAGAATAACACATTTTCCGCTGATCCACGATTTACAACTTTTATCCGCTGAAAACTTAATTTCTGTGAAATGTGTGACAGCTCAGTGAACGCACAGCCATAACGTGGCACAGAGCGCGGACCATAGACACACAGACAGAACCATAGACGCGAAGACAGAACGCGCGGACAGGACCATATACGCGTGGACAGAAAAATATCTGCGCGGACAGAACCATAGACACGCGTTCAAGACCATCCCCAGTTTGTTGCAAGTGCAGGTCTCCCCCATGTCTCCTCCCGAAGCGCAACCAAAACTCACAAAATGAAAGCTTGGGTACCTAAAATTTTCCCTTGAATTAAAATTGCATGTTGGTTGTGAAAAAAAGTAAAATGCTGTAAACAAATAGAACAGAACACACCACAACAGGCGTCTTGTTTTTTGTTTTGCATACATAAGAGCCCTGGGAGTCATTATTTGACTTTTTGGGCTGAGAGGGGGTCGGTAAACCCTATTGATTTAATCGATTAATGTAAAATATTTGATTATCATAATAGATGTGTAGGATAAATTAAAATGACCTCTTTCCTCAATCAAAGACATTTTGTTGTATATTGAGACATATTATAGCTTCTGTCCCCACTGTGTGTAAATCCTTGTGGTTCAGGTTTTATTGTGGGCAAGAATGTCTTAAGATAAGTGCCATGGCAACACCCTTCCCCCAACGACTCTACAAGAGGGGAGACAAACCAGTCTGCTTTGGAACCATGGAGTGACGAGACCTCCCTGGGCTCTGCCCTGGGCTCTGCTTAGGCAACCAAGGGGCCTTGGGCCTCTTAGATGGCCTCAAACCTCAGCTCCACGTTTGAGAGGACTTCCACAACCCTTCAATAGCCTCCAGCTTCAACCTGAAGAAGTTGCTGAGTTTTGGCACCTAGACTGTGGATCGTGGGAAGACCACATGATGCAGCCGCATGGTCCAGGCCCTGGGGACAAAAAGCCTCCATCCAACGCCATCAAGACCCAAGGACTGCTATTCAGCAAAGGCTATTCTGGTTGTATGATCTGCTCTCTTGCTACACACAGTTGTTGGCTTTATTAAAACCTATACTTCAAAGAATACTTCTCTTACCAAGGCTGAACACATGCAGGCCTCAGCCTATACCAATCCATTCATAGACAAATGTCTTGCTTAGCTCACTTTAGCCTAGCATTTTAACAATGTATCTTGAAATCAACGTTTCCTTCATGTTATTCTTGACAATTTGCATAATTCATATCTAGTCTGTATTGTGTATACTTCATTAAATCTACAAAACCATCTTTGTCTGAAAGTGATATTTGTACTTTTAACTCCAGAAATTGGGTCACTGATTTGTAAAAGAATTCACTACCTTCAGATTCTATTGAAGAGAATTGGACTAATTAGCTAATTAAATAATGAAAGGACTCATGAGATTACTTAATCAATAAATGAGCCAATTAATTGATATTGTGACGTCATATGCACGTTATCAGTTGGGAGTTATTCCCTGGTGCCCCTAAATAAAGCTATTATCAATTATTGTATTTATTACATGGTTGTTTTATCCAATTCTCCGATATCAGGTGCATAACTTAAAGGCACACCGCGGACTTTGTGACCTAAAGAGTTGACACATATGAGTTATTTTATATGAATACTTGGGCCAATATACAGCGCTTGACACTTGCAATGCTCCGAGCGGGGCTGCCCTCTTGAAATACCGCCCATGTAAGTTTCGAGCAGACGGACCGTCTGCCACCAGGTCACGTGACTTGGAAGAAAGATATGCTTTACGGCTACAGGCGCTGATATACTCATGGACCTAAGGCTTTTGCTACTCATTTTTCACCTGCTCGACTCCTGGTCATGGCTGAGGCAAGGAAAAATTTTAAACCTTCGGAGGAGGCTAAAAAGAGGAAACGCGAAAGGGATCGTGCTGTAAGCTGCATGTCTGTATGAGCGCTGCTCTTCACCTGGTTCCTGGATGTCATCGACTGCAAAGATGTCATTCCACGCAGCACGAGCTAGACGCAGAACTCCCTCATCCAGGATATAGAAGTCCATGTGTGGTAGATTACTAATGCAGCGGTCTGGAGGCTGACCACAGCAGAGTCTCTCAATATCTGTAGGCATGTCTCTACAGTTTGAACACACACACCAGTGCATGCTGTCTGAATACACACTCAAAAGACACCGGCTGACTGTTTGTTGACTTTTGCGACAGTGCTGAGTTGCTTGTGGCCACTAGGGGCGCTAAACGTGAAAGTTGCAGGTCTAGCGCCCCTAGTGGCCAAGAGTTACACGGTGTGCCTTTAAGTTATGTGTGATATCGACATTTTCTCACCCTACAGATGTGTTACTGTGGGCTTCCTATTGTCCCAACGCAGATTAAATGCTGTTCAAATGCAGAAAAAGATCTCAACAGCTCTGTCTATGATGCAACAGATTTAAGCAATTCTACACGGCACATTTTCTGGAGGGGCGTTTTTTTCTATTCCAAATATTCATATGGATGTGCATTAAAACATATAGATGTAGGTTTTTATTTGAGAAAACAATGTTTTCTTGACAACAATGTCAAGACGAGTATTTTTCACCGTACAACAGTAGCTTGTGACCAGATTGTCTATAGGAGCTGTATCCTTTCCGAAACCTTCCTTTTCAATTGCATGACAGCAGTTCAGCCATGAAGACAGATGGAGGAAGCAGCGGTACCTTTGAAGTTGGGGCGTATTCGGGGGTCGTAGCTGATCAGTAACCTGTTCAAGATGTTACTGGTGGAGTTGGCAGGGACCTTTGCCAGATCTTCAGGTGACAGCTGCCTGCAAACAAAAGCAGAAAAGAGGGTGGATGATTAGAGCACGAGGCTCCAGATGCTGATTAAAACTCTGCACAGCTCCCAGCAGCCCTACTCAATCACTCAGACCACCCACCATTCTCTCAGAAAAATAAATGTTTAGACAATTGGGTGGGTTCAAAGGCCTATGCAGAACCAGGTTGAGGAGAAATGAGGCCATTCGGATCTATAGGACAGAAATGTTTGTCCTTTTCACTTGTGAAGTGTGAGTGTGTACTATTGTTGTTAAAAGTAAAACTAAAAATGGCGACAAAAATGCAAATAATAGTGCTCGGTACTATATATGTACAATTGTGATGTCAAGATTACATGTAAACCACAGATAGGAATTAAAGCGCACAAAATTCGCTAGAAATTTGCTGGTCTCAGTCAGGTCCGGTCTGAGTCAGATTCTGTCTCAATCAGGTCGGGTCTCAGAGGAAACAGAACAACAACCACAACTACCACAAAATACTCAATACTGTCATAGATGTCAAGAGAACTGGATGGATAGATAGATAGATAGATAATTCTAAAAAGCCAATAATAGTATTAATCAGCCACAGGCCTTCAGGTCATAGCAACAGAGATCCACTGGGTGGAACAGGACGGGTCACAGCAGCAGAGACGGAGTAGCTGATGGGTGGAGCAGGATAGGTCACAGCAGCAGAGATGTAGCAGCCGCTTGGTTTGGACCATTTCTCTGCTCTAGTCCAAAGTAAAATGCTAAACGCTCCTCCAGAGGATTTTCACCTGATCCACTTGGTTCGGTCCATGAATCCTCTCCGCTCTGGTGTGGACCAGTGTAAAACCATGAACACTGTGCTACAGCAACATCTCAGGTAGGAAAAAACTCAATAAAAATAAACATTAAAGCCGCAAGCGTCATCGAACGGTCCTTGGAGTTGGTGCCGCCACGCCATGATTTGCTCCCATAGCCATAGAACAATGTTCGTGAAAATGTAATGAATACGATCAGTTGGTTTGGCTCCCCATGTAAAACTTTGGCTCAGTCTGTAGGGGGCGCTAAAAGCCAACTTAATATTTCACACCTAGGCCCAGGAGAAGAACAACCGAGTCATGTTTAGTACAAATCAGACTTCGTATGTGTAAACAGGAGTACATGTATATTCTATGAACAACTATTGATGGTACATGTGTTGAGATGATGTGGAACGATTTTCAGCCAATTCGGTGAAACGGCCGAGGCTGGTTTGATGTTTGTGCAAGGTGTACATTTGCCATTCGGACAGGATGGGGAGCGTTTGACATCGCCATGGCAACAGGGTAAAAAATAAGTCTTGGGTGTCGTTGACTTTTTAAATCGAGAGGGCAAAACAGAATAATGTGTTTCAAACATTTTGACAAAACTAAATGTGATTGTCCCCATGTAAAACTTTGACATAGTCTGTAGGGTGCACTAATAGGCCAATTTCAAATATTTCACTTTCACATGACCTAGACCCTGGATTTGAACAATGGATTCAAATTTTGTGCAAATCGGACTTTGAGCAAATTTACTGTTGTCAAAAATGCCAACAAAAAAAATTCACATTTTGCCGCTCCGCTGCTCGAACAACGTTTAAGATGGCGCCTCGTACGGTTGACGCGGCTCTTTGCTGCTCTCTTTTTCTTTTGTTTTTACTTTTTAATTGTGTATCTGGCTGTTCCTACACCCGGCTGTTCCCAACTCATGAACATCCGACCCACCGTTCCCATGGACCTATTGCCTGTTTTCTTGGCATCTGCGGCTGATTTAGTCCATGTTCTAGCTAAAAAAGTGTGGGCCCGTAAAAGGGGAAAGCGCGGAGGCCTGCTCGTGCGTCTGAGGAGAAGAGGAGCGTGCATGGCTCTCCCCGGCATTTTTTTCTCCAAGGTACGCTCACTGGGCAATAAGATGGACGAACTCGGCCTGCTCATGAGAAGAAACAAGGACTTTGCCTCATCCTGTGTCCTCTGCTTCACTGAGACCTGGCTAAATGAGCGGATCCCGGACTGCGCTCTGGAACTGCAGGATTTTGAGATTTCCTTGTTGTACGCACTCACCTTTCAATTGCAAGTTTAGTCTCCACTTTTGAATTTGTTTTGTCTCCACTCGATCCATTTCTACTATTGTTCCTGTTCGCTGTTGACCACAGAATGCAGCAGGAGACACAGGGATGATGCGTTCACAGCTCGCTGCTGCTGTAGGACACGCCAGTTACGGTGTCATTAATATATTAACTTTTTGAATAACTTGTTGTAAATCAACGGACATTGTTATTAATATACATATGCATATATAATATATATATCATTATGTATGAAAACAATTTAAAAATAATTATAATAATAATAAAAAAGAAATATATATTTTGGCGAAACTATTCTACGTCAATACAAACTGGTGTAACGATGTGACAGTGATCTCCAAGCCCTGCCCGAACTCAGGTCGGGCCTCGGACCTGCTCGGGCTCGGGCTGAAAAGCGAAACTCTATTCTACGTCAATACAAACTGGTGTAACGATGTGATCTCCAAGCACTGTTCTCCTGCTCTGAAATATGTTTTCATTCATTGTAAACCATTTTACTCCCCTCATGAATTTGTTTTATTCATTCTTGCCTCTGTTTACATACCGCCATGCACGGACGCGCGCGAGGCTGAGCGTGCACTTGCAGAGCAAGTACTGTGTATGGAGCGTTTATACCCGGACTCTCTGATTATTATCCTGGGGATTTTAACAAGGGAAACTTGAGCCAGAAATTACCCAAATACAGACAGTTTATCAAATGCCCGACAAGAGAGGAGAACACTCTGGATCACTGTTACACCACTGTGCGCTGTGCTTTTAGGTCCGTAAAACAAAGAGAAGTTTGAAAGAATCAGTTTATCGCGCAGGTTGGTGACTCGCCGTGTGGAACTGATTGATGAAGATATAGTGAGCGAGTTACACAAAAAGGCCAGAAACTTCTTTTTTTTACTAGAAAAAAAAAAGTTTTGAGATAACAGAGAAGCTTTTGAGCATGGAGTCGCTGAAGGGGAAAACGCGAGGAGAGGACTTGTATGAACAGGTGTCCGCTGTCATCGAGAGAATGAACCTACCGTGGAGTAAACTAGCCAATGTCACCACGGATGGATCGCCAAATTTAACTAGAAAAAACGTTGGGCTGCTTAAAAGAATCCAGGATAAAGTGAAAGAGGAAAACCCTGAGCAGAATGCTGTTTTCCTTCACTGCATCATTCACCAGGAGTCTCTGTGTAAGTCTATATTGCAGCTTAATCATGTCGTGGATTCAGTTGTTAAATTTATTTGTACAAGGGAACTTAATCATCGTCAGTTCGTTAAGTTCTTAGAGGAAACCGATGCGGCTCATAAGAAGTTAAATGAAAAATCCGAAGAATTTCCCGAGCTGAGTGACGAGAACTGGCTTTGTGACTTTGCGTTTGCTGTGGACATACTGTATATTCACATATGAATGAGCTGAACGTGATGCTACAGGGGAAAGATCAGTTTGTATATAACCTGTACACAAATGTGACAGCCTTCAAAACCAATGTCAAACAAATCTTTCACTCATTTCCCCATACTAGCCACGCAGAAAGGGGCCACCTGAAATACAAGAAAATTGTTCACTTATAAAATATATGCGCTGGCGTCGTACCCCACGCTCTTGATGCTAGAGGGAAGCGATCAAAGTTCTGTGTCATTTTGATGGTACATGTGTTGAGATGAGATTTTCAGCCAAATTAGTGAAAGGGCCAAGGAGGAGTCGCTTTCCAACAGACATGCGTGAAAAAGGTCAATTTTCATTTTTATATTTTCCAATTAAATTTATGGTTTTCCGGTTTGTCAAGGGGCGTGGCCATAGTAACATGTTTTTCATGTCTTGACTTGAGGAACATATGTACCAAATTTTGTGGCTCTACGACAAACTTGACCTTGGACCCTCTCCCAGAGGCGCAATGTAAACGCAATGTAAACAGAACTCTGTTCTGGCATTTTTTTTGTCCCATAAATATAAACACCAAAAAAGGTATTTTTTTGCCTGTTCTGAATTGTGAGCAAAAATTGGCAAGTTTTCATGCATGTTCAAGGGGTCAAATTAAGGCTCAAAGTGCAGATTTGTTTTCCAAAGTCTCCGAGCAAAAAAAATATAGGTTTCAATGGCCTCCGTATCACTAGCTTCTACCTCTGTTACCAACTCGGACCTAAAGTCAGTACTGACTTAACTATATATCGTGGATTAAACACTCTTTTCGGTTCGTAGCCTGGGCTAGCCTAGCTGCTTGCTCGCTATCCCCATAGCTGCTGCCTCCCCCTCGGTCCTTTACTGCTTGAGCTGCCATATGGCGAGTTTAAACCCTGGATCCTTCTCTGAGGGCAGTGATAGATGCGTTAAGTGTAGTGTAGTTTTAGCTCTGGAATCCAGGGTCAGTGAGTTAAAGCTGCGTCTTCGATCACTCGAGCTGCGAGCTAGCACTGGCATTAGCTATAGCCAGGCCTTATCTACAGGAATAGCGAAGCGCAGCTCTGATAAGCAAAGGCAGAGGAGAACTAGCGAGCCTAGTCTCCCAGCCCGTCCCCCGCAGCCGGGACAAGATCAGGATAGTGATGGCTTTGTGACTGTTCGGGGGGTGCGACGTGTTGTTGATAGTTTCCTCACATCCCTGAGAACATCGCAACCATCAAAATGGGCATGGATAAAACAAGTTTGGATATCAACACTGCAGGAAATCGTCTCGCATTAATGACCAACCATACTTGGTAAACATTACATATTCTTGACCAATAATTGTGTTCTCTAAATGTATCTTTGGACATTGCTATGCACTATGATAATAAATTAAATGGAGATGGAGATAGAGACTGCTCGGAAAATTTTGACTGAAAGTGTCAACCAATTTTTACAATTTGTCTCTATGAAAACTTAAAATGGCAGGGTTGGCTTTATTTCTCAAGATTATCATTCACTGGCTCATGATTCCAAGTGTAAAAATGAAGAATTTGTATTTATGAGAATCTCAACAGTAACTTATTTTGACAATTCATATTTGTAGATTGAAATCATGAGTATGAAATGATTTCTTAGGAGACATCAGACCACTTTTTCAAATGCAAAATTATCTAATTCCAAGATACAAAATACTTGTATAAACGTTTTCATGCTGTTACGTATTGGTTTGTTTTACTGCTTTAAGCAAAACAAGAGTTTGTCATGTATCTTGATTCATTACAAATATATTTTTGCAGATTTTTTGTTTTCTTTTGACAATTGCGTTCATTTGTATGAATTATTGTTTGACACAAGTGAAATAATCTTCCTTCAGTTCAATGTTTTAGAATACTGTATAATACATACATTTGAACTAAACAATTTAAAGATCTTTTTCTGCAATGAAAAACACAACATGTGTTATAATCAGCACAAAGATGTGTTAAAATAATTGGCACAAAGATGTGTTAAAATTATTTTAACACACATGTGTGTTCAGTTAGGGACAACACAACACGTGTTGATTACAACACAACTGCTGTATTGGTGTATTTAACACATTAGTTGTGTTAATTGAACCAACACAGCAGTTGTGTTGTGTTGTCCCTAACTGAACACACAGATGTGTTAAGAGTGTAGGCCTCCTCCTGTTAACGTTTACAATCGCTGGGACGCTCTGTCTGGCTGCGACCCCTCGCAGCCGGGCGGGGAGGAAGGCCCCACTGAGAGAACTGCTGAGAGAGCCGATGGAGTCGCTGATGCGCTGGTAATTGGCTCCTCTATAGGCTCTATGCACGCACCACTTCCTCGTTTTAGTTATGACCTCACTCCACTTCCTGTGCGCGGGGAACGGCTTGAGTTTCACTGGAGTTCAGTAGATGTTTACACAAGTTTCCTAAATAATGCTCAAACGGGAATTAAACTGTGAGGATAATGGGCATTTTTGGGACACAGCAGTGCTTTTTGATTGTGCTGTCATTGTTCTTTTATAAAGTTAACTAATCTCTCTTGAGTGGCCACAGTCAAAGCTATTCCTCAGAGAGAAAGCACGTCAACACTTTTGGGTCAGTCTCACAGCTGAATGTATCAATCTAATTACTAAAAAAAACATCACTACAACTCACCTAAAAGCCATAGCGATAGCATAGACAGGAAGTGAACGGGCTGATCTTTGTTAACAGGAAATGACGTCACACCTCCCCGTGCATATAGCCCATTGTTAGAGGCGTTAAGATCCCTGTCTGACCATTTCTTGATCACGTTTGATCTCGATTTGGAGGACTTTCCTGCGCTGCAAGATAAAACCATAATGAAAAGAACCTTAAATGATAAATCTATCACAAGGTTCAAAGAACTAATACAGCCAATGTTGAATACTGCTGCAGGTGAACCTGTTCACAGCTGCTGCAGTCCCTCAGTCATTGACCAAACGGTGGACAACACTATGGAATCTTTAAAATCTGCATTAAATGCAGCAGCTCCTTTAAAACAGAAAACTATTAGGATTAGATCATCGTCGCCCTGGTACAGTGTTCAACTCCACACTTTAAAACAGGACGTCCGAAAATTGGCCACTCCCACTTGGAGCCTGTCCACAGGCCAACCTGTAAAACCTTGCAAAGGTCAAGGATGAAGACCAACTAGCAGCAGAACAAATGTCCTGAATAGGCACACCCCTGAAACAGGCCCATGAGGTCGCCAGGCCCCTGGTAGAATGGGCCCTAAGGCCAACCGGGACCTGCAGGCCTGCCGTGGAATAAGCTAATGATATGGCCTCCACCACCCAATGAGAAAGCCTCTGTTTTGAAACAGGCTTTCCTCTGTGGGGTTTTGCCCAAGACACAAATAGCTGGTCCGCCTGTCGAAAAGACCTGGTCTTCTCAACATAGGCCTTGAGAGCTCGGACAGGGCACAGCCTGTGCGACTCCTGCTCCTCAACAGAAGTGCCGAGTGGGGAGCGAAAAGCCTCCACAACGACCTGGGTGCAGGCACCAATCACTTTTGGGATAAAAGCTGGATTGGGACGTAGAGTCACCCTGAGACTATCAGCACTGAACCGCATACACGCAGGGTGTGTAGATAAAGCATGGATATCACTGATACGTTTTGCTGTGGCCAAAGCTACCAGCAATATAGTCTTCAATGATAACGTCTTCAAGTCAATGTCCTCCAATGGTTCAAAAGGATGGACAGAAAGAGCCTGCAGAACCACAGCCAGATCCCACGAAGGGGACATGGTCCTGGACACAGGCAGTAATCTCCTAGCTCCCTTCATAAAACGACAGATCAGCGGATGCTGGCCCACAGTTTTGCCATCAAAGCCAACATGACATGCCGAAAGAGCAGCCAGATAAACTTTGATAGTGGAGAAAGCCTTTTTCTTTTCAATAAGGTCCTGGAGGAATGACAAAATGACATTCAAGGGACAATTGAAAGAAAACACCCCCTGTGAAACGCACCAATCCTCAAAAACCTTCCACTTACGGTCATACAGAGACCTCGTGGAAACAGCCCTGGCGCTCTGAATGGTATTGATCACATTCTGAGGGAGACCAGCCGCAGAGAGACTTAACCACTCAGGGGCCAGGCCCGTAGTGCAAGTCTCTCGGGGTGAGGATGAAACACCTCTCCGTTCGCCTGGGTCAGAAGATCCCTGCGTAACGGGAGAGTCCAGGGGTTCCCGCACAGTAACTGTTTGACGTCCGCCAGCCAAGGCATGGACGGCCAGTGCGGGGCTATCAGAACCAGCCTCAGGTGACGTTCTCTTACTCTGAGGAGAGTGGGAGGAATCAGCGCTAGAGGCGGAAAGGCATATAGCGGCACCTGAGGCCACTCGTGAGAGAACGCGTCCACTCCCAGAGGCGCATGGTGATCGTGTAGGGAGAATAACAGTGGGCAGTGAGCATTCTCTGTGGATGCGAACAGATCCACCGATGCGTGGCCAAACCTGACCCAGATCTGGTCCACAACCCATGTGTTCAGATGCCACTCTCTGTATAGGGGGTTCCCTCTGGACAGGAGATCTGCGCCCACATTCAGAACGCCGGGAACGCGCATCGCTCCACAGGAGAAGCTTGCGCGTGAGCGCAAGCAAGCAGCGGGAGCGCAGTCCCCCTTGGCGATTTATCTGAGCCACAGTGGCTGTGTTGTCCGTCCTCACCAGCACATGGTGCCCCTGGAGGAACGGGAGAAAATGTTTTAGCGTAAGTGCCACTGCCATGAGCTCCAAATAATTTCTATGAGCGCGGCGGAGGTGAGGACTCCATACCCCGTTTACGGGTCTGCCCTCGAACACACCGCCCCAGCCCGTGAGGCAAGCATCTGTGGTCACCACCTTCCTGGACGAGACAGTGCCCAAACTCACCCCTTCGGTCAGAAGATCCTTCCTGTGCCACTCTCTTAATGCGAGCGCGCACTGAGGAGTGACCCTGACCGTGCGCATACGGTGACGTACGGGATCCAGCTTTAGCGCATGCACCCAGAGTTGGAAGTTCCGCATGTGAAGCCTGCCCAACTTCACAACCATAATCACCGAAGCCATCAGACCCAAAAGTCTGAGACACAGACCAAAGGAAACTAGTTTCCCTGGAGAGAAACGAAGTAGCGTCCCCACAAATTTGCGCACCCTCTCTGGAGAGAGACGGGCCATGTAACCGACAGAGTCCAGTTTGAGACCCAGAAACGCAATGTTCTGACTGGGTTGTAACACACTCTTGGTTGTGTTGACAACAAATCCCAGACCGAGCAGATGTTTGAGAACCACATCTGTTTGAGTGACAGCCTCCCCTTGCGTGCGCGCCAGGAGGAGCCAATCGTCCAGATAAATAGCCAGACGTATTCCCCGCTCTCTGAGGGGAGATAACGCGGCCTCGGTGCATTTTACAAACACCCTTGGACTTAGAGAAAGGCCGAAAGGGAGCACTGTGTATTCGTAAGCTACGCCTTGAAACAGAAACCGTAGGTATTTCCTGTGAGGCGGATAAATTGGAATGTGAAAATATGCGTCTTTCAGATCTATTGATGTGAACCAATCGTCTGGGCGCACTAAACGGATCAAGGCCGAGTGTGTGAGCATTCGAAACTTGTATCTCCTTAGATACAAATTCAAAGCTCTTAGATCCAGAATGGGGCGAAGACCGCTTCCCCCCTTCTTTGGAACCAGAAAATACCTGGAATAGAAACCGCTCCGCTTCAGTTCCGGTGGTACAATCCGTATGGCCTTTTTCTGTAGCAAAGAGGATATTTCCTCTGCCAGAATGACGGCTGATTGTCCTTGTGCCTGACAAGACAACAGGCCGTTGAATTTGGGAGGCACGGTGGCAAACTGCAGTCTGTAGCCCCGTGTTATCGTTCCAAGCACCCACTTCGAGTCTGTGCATTTGCTCCACTGCTCCGCTCTGAGAGACAGGGAGGGCAACGTTGCACCTGCCACCAGACTTATGTGTGGAGCTTTGACGCCCTCTACTGACAGAGGGCTGGTGGTGGAACCGGGTTGGACTGCGCATGCGCGGTCTGTAACCATGGGGACACGCTGACTGGGGACCAAGAGGGTGGTAGCGCCCTCTGTTGGCCCGAGACGAGCGCTCAATGTATTTTTCAACATTTTTTTCTTTTTTAATTCTTTTAAAGTACAATACTGCGCCCTCAGCGTTACGCCTGGATGCGTCAGTGAACTTTTTATTTGCATTTTTGAGTGTATGTGTGTGGGCTTGGGACACTCCAGCACATGAACCACGTCTCTCATCCTCTTGATCAGGACTCTCCGGGGACTCGCCGGGTCCGGACCAGACGGAGAGGGGCACACCACGCCACCAGGGAGAACCACCTCCTGTGGCACACTCACAGGGCCGAGCAGAACCGGAACCGGGTCAACCCTGTTGATTAGCAGCGGGGTGGACTGCTAAGACGCCTTCTTCCTCCTCCTCTGCTGCTGAGACGCAGAGCCCGTGGCCCTCTTGGGCCACACGGGTCTGACCACCTGAGGGCCAGCTGATCCCGTGGCAGGGGGTTGAGGCTTTGGTCGTTGCGGGACGCGGAATGAGGGATTAAAGCCGGGTCTGGGGCTCACACGAGACATATTTGACCTCGGGAGCGCCTGAGTGGCAGCTGGCTGCTTACGCGGGAGACAGAGGTGAAGCGCCTCGTCATCCCGCTTCCTGGCTTCGCACCTCTGTTGCATGGAGGAAAGAGCTGAGCCAAACACACCCTCTGGGACCACCGGCATGTCCAATATGTCTTCCCTCTCCCTGTCAGACAAATTGGTCAGGTTTAACCATCGCGCCCTTTCCTGCAACACCAACATGCCCATACATTTCCCCACAGCCTGAACCGCGCAGCGTTGAACACGTAAGCATAGGTCAGACACAGTGGTAATGTCGTCCCATGCAGCACGGTCAGGGACGGTGGACATGTCCTCAAATAGCTCCGCTTGGTACGCAGTCAGCATAGACGTAACATTAACCCTTTAGGCGCCAGAGTTTTTTCAAGAAAATATACAATTTTGATTTCAAGATTTCAAAAGGCTATAACTTTAAAATGGTTTGAGATAAAGGCATACTGTAAATTAGAAATATCTTCAGTTTGAACCAAACTTTGGGATGGAAGTTGATTCGTCATCTAATTTGCATATTGTGACGTCATCAAGGTGGCGGCCATTTTGGAAAATGTTAATTATTGTATAAAGACTTCAAAAAGCTGTAGCTTGGGAGTTATTTGACATCAGGGAATACTATGAACAGTCAACGTGAAATATCTTTAGTATAAAATGAATTTGGGATAGAAATAAATTCCCTGATCCAGATTATAGATAATGTTTTAGCACTAGTTCGCGGCCATATGGAATTGTATTATTTTCAAAGACCTTCAGTGATCAAGACAGCACTCTTTATAGTTTACAGTCATGAAATCTTGAGATTTGTTTCAATATTTCCCTTTCAAAGAAGTGGTGAGCTTACTATTTTTCTCAGTGGAAATGGGGCTCCAGGATTTACCGTTTAGAAACAGAGAGATGAAATGAATGGGCACAGAACTTGTCAGATCGTCTCAACAACATACAACAGGCTCTTCAACACTTCTAATCCACTTTTGTGGATTATTTTCTCTCAAGAACTGCCTTCATCCTCATCATCACTGGTAAAGGCAGTGAACGCAATTAGCGATGTGTTTTTTTTCCCGCGGCTCTCCCGCGACTTCTCCCGCGTTTCCCGTGTTCCCCGTGGATGTCTACCCCCGCTACTTTCTTCCACATGCCCGGTGTTATGATGCCCCTGTCCCCTCGACCACGGCCCCTGCTTGGCGTTCACAGAATGCTTCTACCGCGGCCACACGGAGGACAAGCAGCCGCTGCACAGGGGCTGATTGTGGACTATATGGCGCGGTCTCCTCGTCACTAATAATGTCCGTGTCTGCTTCACTGGACACCTGCGTGTCTTCCTCCTCTGAATCTGAGTGAGCCACTACCAGACCAAGTACTTCTCTGGTACTGAAGACCTTGTGAGTAAATGAGAAAACACTCTCTCCCTCTGCTCTGCTCTCGCTCCTCTCAGCTCTACCGCTGCTGCTTCGCCTCCGCGCCGCTGCGCTGCAGGTGTTTTACGAACTCAATTTACTCAAAAACTTTCAATATAACCACACCCACAAATGTTGCTCATATTACAGGCACACATGTCCACTAACCCCTGGTGAAAAGTATTAACAAGATTCTGCACCACATTTTTACATACAGCCTGTTTAAGTGAGCAATGTTGCTTGTCGCAATATTGCGACTTTGGCGCTTAAAGGGTTAAGAGCCCTGACCGATAGAGCGGCTGCCTTGTACGACCCGCTCAGTCATGGTGAACTGGAACCGGTCAGCTTTTGAGGGGTGGGCAGGTGGTCTGGTGGACGTGGCCGAGAGCTTCGGATGAAGATGGGCCGCCACCATGGGCTCAGTCTGAGGCATACGAACCATACCGAGTTTGTCCATACCAACAAAGTCCAGAGAAGAAGCGCCCAAAATGGGGCTCTTGTTGGAGTAGGGATGGTCTTTCCAAGAGGCTGACACTTCCTCGAGAAGCTCTGGAAACACCGGGAGAAGCTGTCGCGCTGCCCGTTTAGCCTGGGGTAATTTCTTCCCCTCGTAGCGGGAGCGGGGAGCCTCCGCAGCGACCGGAGGCCACGGGATGTCCAGCCTGTCTGCAGCGCGTTTGCACACGTCATGCAGATCAGCACTGAGCGATGGCTGAGCAGCTCCGCTATCATCCCTAGCCTGAGCCGTAAGCGGAGAGACCTGGCCTGAGGGGACGAAAAAGGAGGGGTCCTCTTCGTCGTCAGACACCAAAAACTCCTCACCAAAAGAACCATCGTCCTCATAATCCAAGAGGAGCAGTCCATCTTGGAGAGGGTTCTCAAGGTCCACTGTAGAGCTCCAGCTCACCTGGGCCGGGGCAGCCTGGGCAGCTGCTCCAGTCCCGGTGTCAGCTACAGCCTGGGCGCCTCCTCCGAGCTGGTGTGCTGCGGTAGTGGGCTCAGGCTCGGTCATAGTCTCTGTCAGAGAGGCTAGCTTGGCATGCTAGCCTGCGACGTAGACTCTTGGCCGTGAACCGGGAGCAGTGCATGCATGATCCGGGATTCTCAAGAGCGTCCCGGGCGTGTTCCAGCCCAAGGCACGCCGAGACGACCTGGTGTGTGTCGTTGCTCGAAATCTTGTTCCCGCACGTGCAGTGCCGGGCACCTTCCAGCTCCGTGGAAGGAGAGATCTTTGCAGCTGTAGCCATGACTGATACCTGGTGTGGTAGCAGGCAAAGCAGAGTTAGCCTGGTGCAGCTAACAAATAAAACTCCGAAGCTAGTCACGCACTAACTGTCCGGTGTAGTGACAGCTAACGTTCGGCAGCAGAGGGAACAAACTCTTGCCTGTGAACAGTTAAATTAGCCGTCTGACACACTGGAGTTGCGGTAACTTTGCTCTGTGAAGCGAGAAGAGGTGATTGAACGGCGGGTGACGTCGTACGAGTGGCATTTATAGTGGGTGCCAACGTCGCGACGTCACCACTGCCAGCCACTCAGGGCTGGCGTAATGGTATAGGGCTTCTGTGAACACCCGAGGGGGGCGTTCCCCATAGTGAGACATCCAAACGAATACTATGAAAGAGAACTGCCATAGCGCAATCGAGCCTAAAATTCCAAGCTCACTAAGCAGTGTCAACTTTCTCCATTTCTTTAATAATAAAATTACATCCATCCGTGACAAACTGGAGGAGGTTTCTCCTGCTGTTGGTAGTGGACAGGCTGAAGCGGCATACTTGACTCTTCAGTGGGCCTCGATAAATTCATGGCTGTGAGCCAAGCAGAAGTGATCTCTGTGGTCACATCCTCAAAAGCCTCAACTTGCATGTTAGACGCAATCTCGACTTGGCTCTTTAAAGACATACTTCCTTTGATAATTGAGCCTATCGTAAATATGTCCCACAAGCTTTTAAAACCACGGTAATCAAACCCCTTCTGAAGAAAACAAACCTGGACCCAGAAATACTTACAAACTACAGACCGATCTCCACCTCAC